CACAACCCACGCAAGCTAGATAATTCCGCACACAGCTGCAATTCCAGGTTTTCAAACAGAGATGGCGACAAAGAGGCAAAATTTACGGACTGCAGCTTTAACTATTTGTTAAAATAACCACAATATTAATAGCAACACTGAATTACGAGCGCTTGGTTTATCTGTCCATCATATGTGCGTTAAAGTTGCATGTGTTAGTATAACAAACACCACTATATAAAATTTTCTTTCAGAATCATCATTGGCTGGTCGAAAGAAAAATAGATCGTTTTTACTTACAAATGAAGATAAGGTAAAGGTGCAAATAATATCGCGGGAATAAAAAATATATTAACGAGCAAGAGAGCTGATTTTTTCCCAGAATATCTGCACGACTGCAAATGTGATATAGATTAAAAAAAAAAAAAAAAATTTATATTGTGCTATATTTTAGACACAGTATGGTCAATATTGTCTGTTTTTGTGCAAGTTCACCAATGAAGATAAAGCAGAACTTTTGTGCTTCTCTGAACAACACAGCTGTGTTTATTTACTGAATGAATCCACAGGTGCAGTCTGACATGTTTTCCCGCCCCCTTTTGATTGACAGGATATTATCAGCCCTGATCATTGGCTGTTTTTAAACAACGGCTGATAGTGCAGATAATTGCTTTTTTCGGCGATAGGCTATGATTATTGGCTGATACATCAGTGCAACACTAATTAGAATCAGACTTTCATGGGGCCCCACAGCTAGAAATGAAATGATGAACCTTTAATCACACATATTATGAATTCAAACACAGGCCATGCTGTTTAGGGAGGCTGGAGGCTGGCTTACCTGTGTGATGGGTATCTGGGGTGAGATGGCAGGTGGTAGCGTGGGGGCAGGCGGCTGTGGGCTGATATTGGGTGAGGGGGCAGGGCCAGTGTGCTGGGCAGGAGGGGAGGGAGGGACATGACTGGCAGCACTGATGCCCAAGTGTGTCAGGTTGGTGGTCAGGTTGCTGGTACTGCTGGAGCTGGATGTAGGGAAGGTAATGGGGTCATCTGGATCCAGTGGGGTGGGGAGAGGAGGAGGGAACTGGATGTTTGTCAGATCAGGTAAGGAGCCCCCGGTGCTGTGAGCAGCTGGCATCAAAGAGCTATTAATTTCTTGATCAGGAGATGGAAATATGCTGGAAAAATCAAACATAATATGTAGTGAGATGTGCTATACGATGCAACACTTATATGTCCAGAGACACATATAAATGATTAAACCTCACAAAGAAATGTAAATTTATATATTTTGATGAAAAGAAAATGCTATGCATTTTAAATGTATCATTCAGAGGTTAAAGTTAGCTTAATATTACGTAGTTGTCTTGAAATTTAAATTTATTACAATAAAACACAATCCGTCCCACCCCAAGTATCATTAAATTGAAATACAATAATTACTTTAATTTGTTTTATAAAAACACAAAAAAATGTTAAGATACAATATATTTATTTTAATTTAAATCAGAATGTGAAGAATTTCAATTTAAAAATTATATGCAAATAAGCTTCAAGGCAGTATAAAATCTATACAGTTTACAAAACAATTATTTAGCATTTTATTTTATATTTAGGTAATAAGAATTTGGAGGGAAATACACTAAATTGTCATAAAATGAATCTCACAACGCAAAAAACAACAACAACAACAACAACAAAAACTGGCTTCATTCTCTTGAAGCAAAACATAACTTCTATGTTCTATTTCTATATTCTGTCTTAATATCAGCCATAAACATTTTGGTAACACTTACCAATAAGGTCCCATTAGTTAATGATGGTTAATGCATTAACTAACAATGAGCAATGCATTTATTACACTATTATATAACTATTCATTGTTAGTTCATTTTAGCTCAGGTCTATTAAATAATAAGATACAACTTTTGATTTTTTAGTAAATGTTGAAATGACTAAGATTACTAAGATTAATGAATGCTTGAAAAGTATTTTTTGACTGTTAATTAATGTGAACTAATGTAGTTAACTAATATTAACAAATTTTAAGTGTTTTTTCCTCTCTGTGAAACTACATCAAAACTTGCTTAATTTGAGGAATAATCTAAAATTATATGTATATATATATATATATATTTTTTTTTTTTACAGACAAGTTGTATATATATATATATATTTTTTTTTTTACAGACAAGTTGTGACAGATGCTTACTTTAGAATGAAATTTGTACAGTATTTCTAAATCTCCCATATTACTTTTATCAGCAATCAGAGTATCATGCAATTGCTGTTTCTAATAAAGTTATTTGCCCATTGGAAAATTATTTGCCCAAACTATATCATTTGATTTTTCATTTAGACCATTTTTACCAATTTTTCATCAATTTGGCACATGATGAGTGTTCTTGTATCTAAAGTTGCAGCCATCTGCAGCCAGTCTCATTTTCTCTATTCCTGCTAGTTCAAAGGTTATCTAAGTGTTGCATGATTGTCCAGTACACAGGAAAAATAATAAACTCACTTAATCCCAGGAACGTCACATAACTCTGTATGCAGAGATGCTTTGGGCTCGTCTTTCTCCATCTCTGATTCAGTGTCCTCTGTATCTGGAGGGGTGAGCAACAGCACTGCAGAAAGAGAGGGAGAGAAGGATGAACTCCTACCAGGTCATTGTAAATGAGGAAAAACACCTTAAAAATACATGTGGGTCAATGACAAATAAAGTGTCAACAATAAAATAATATTTAAAAATTCAAATTAAAGTTTTTTTTTTTGTTTTTTTTTTACACATTCACAATCTAAGTCATGTAAGTGTTCGTGTGAGTGTAAATAATCTTAAAAATTATGTACAAAAGCATTTTTTTAATTAATGCATAGAGTAAATACCATTATGTTTTGAGGAGTCACACTAATATGACATTTACTAACCCAGCCAGTCATAAAAAGGTCAAATTATCTGATATTTTATTGACCTTGACACTCAGTGATGAGGTTCTACAGGGTTCCTCTCTATGATTTATGTTGGTCTGTATGATAATCTTGGTTGCACCACATCATGACTTTGGGGCGGACAAAAGTTTGTAAAATATTAAGTAAGCAGAAAAATACTTTTGTTAAAGGCACAGTTCACCCAAATTTGAAAATGTACTCACCATCAGGCCATCCAAGATGTAGATGACTTTGTTTCTTAATCAGAACAGATTTGGAGAAATTTATGCCATCAGAATGAGAGTCCAAACAGCTGTTAAAAACATCACAATAATCCACAAGAAATCAGTGCGACTCCAGTCCGTCAATTAACATGTTGTGAAGTGAAAAGCTGCATGTTTGTAAGAAAAAAAAAAACTATCATTATGACATTTTTAACTTTAAACCATTTCTTCCAGCTAAAATATGAGTCCATAATCCATAACAATGCTTCCTCTAGTGAAACAGTCCAAACACTGTTGTCCTCTCACATCACCATTTTCTCCACTAACATATTTGTTTAGAACTGTTCTGACTGTTTTCACTTGTAAATTCAGAGGAGATGACTTTTCCACTGGAGAAAACAATATGGATTATGGACTCATTTTAGCTGGAAGCAATGGTTTAAAGCTAAAAATGTCTTAATGATAGATTTTTTTTCTTACAAACACAAAGATTTTTTTACTTTACAAGACATTAATTGATGGACCAGAGTGGTGTCAATTACTTGTGGATTACTGTGATGTTTTTATCAGCTGTTTCATTCTGACGGCACCCATTCACTGCAGAGGATCCATCAGTGATGAAATGCTAAATTTCTCCAAATCTGTTCTGATGAAGAAACAAACTCATCTAAATCTTAAAGGCCTGAAGATGAATACATTTTCAAGAAATTGTCATCTTTGGATAAAATATTCCTTTAAAAATGCTGTTATTATGCTGTATGCTGTAAAAATTAACAAAGTATGCCAAACTACTTTTCAAGAATTGTATTATTATAGAGTTTTTAAATCATTATTATTATTAATGTTTTTGACTTTATGCACTACAAAAAATATAAAAATTAATTAATTCCATGCAGCATAGTAATAGCTAATAAATTCTTACATGTTTTTACTCCTTTTGACTGCAGTTCCTGAGATCCTCCAACAAAAGTTTCCTGTGGAGCTGGATTCACAGCGCTCTGGTGTAGAGCTGAGTCAGAGTTGGTTCTGCAGCAGACCAGTGGAGGTGGGAACATGTAAAAACAATGACATGTAAAAATGATTTATGACCTTTGAGCATGTTTTGTTTATTAGGTTATAAAAAAAGCTGCTTTACCTCCTCCAACTTGTGTCAGGTGGTGGTGACAGATATACAGAGCTGTAGGGACAGCTGTCAATGTAATTAGGGTTAAGGACAATGTCTCACACAGGGGCGGTTTCTTCATTAGGGCGAAATGGGCGATGCACCACCAAAGTGTCAAAGTGAATGTGATTTTTTTTCTATCACATTCAATCACAGTGTTACACTAGCTGTCACTGCTCTAGATTGTTTGTTCTGCCTCTGAATATAGTCCAATCAGTGTTAAGTCACATTATGTGGAGTACCACCCCTTTTTGGGCGATTTCACTCTGGCCAAGTGTTCTCATAGACTTCGAATCAAACTGCAGGGACTTCAATGTAATCTCTATGAGTTCTGGGAGGGCTAGCACTAATGTGCTTTCGTCATCATATGTAACTTAACTTAAGTTAACAAAGTAACTTAAAGGGTTAGTTCACCCCAAAATGAAAATTAGCCCATAAATTACTCACCCTCAAGTGAGTTATATTAAAAATTGTCTTTGATCTTTCAAGCTGTTTCATGGCGCTCAGCGGGTGTTGCATGCATCAGTCCAAAAGCACTTAATTAAAATGCGCCATCCATAAAAAAAGTGTCTCACACGGCTCTGGGGGGTGAACAAAGGCCTTCTGTAGCGAATTTATGCGTTTTTGTAAGAAAAATATATATTGAGTCTCGTGAAAACCAACGTTTGTTAACAGGAGCAAAGAAAGCAAAGCTTCCTTACTTTAGCAAAGGAAAACCAGTCTCCTCTTGGTTTATATCTAAATCCTCTGACATTCTTCTTTACAAATCCTCGTTTAGTGACCGTTGTTTTGTTTTGATCTCTCCCCTGCGCTTCACTGGATTCGTCTGAAAGAAGAAAGTCATATACACCTAGGATGACTTGAGGGTGAGTAATTTATGGGCTAATTTTTATTTTTGGGTGAACTAACCCTTTAACTTGTGCAATGATTGGTGGGAACAAACATACCTCTATTAATAAGAAATATGAAGTCAGGACTAGTCTGTATGGGCTGAATAAAGCAAACCAGTATCTCACCAGTAAAGTTTTGAAGGATGACGATTGTAATGGAGGTAAAGACGATTTCAGTGACATACAGGAGCCGTACATTATTAGACACGGGAGTCTGTTATTATTAGTGTGCAAATAAACAAACCATGTATGTGTGCTCTCTGATAGCTTTTTGCACGAGCACATTTCAGTATGGTCGACATGTCTGGCAGGTGTTTTATAATGGACACTCGCTGAAGAAGCACATTTTTATAGGAGTTTGCTGTGGTCAGTGGTGTTTACATACATATGGGCATCAACACTCACTCTGACAGAGGAACTTTTCACTGGTCATGTTGAGCCGCCTAAAGATAACCACATTCGAGAAATTCAGAATGTTTTTATTTACTTTTTAAATTTGTGTTTTACTCTGTTTAATAATTCTGAATGGATCCGTATATATTTATATACAGTCAGGTTAAGGCGACTGGTATAATGGTCCGTTGGCATCTCCGTGTGGTCCTGTTAGGTATTGCAGCTTGACTTGTAGTTATAGAAAATGCTCTAAACAAATGTGACAGTTATATTTTCCTCACAGTTTTTGCTGTTGCACTGTATACATAAATTGTGAATTTTGAACATTTTTAAATGTTTTAATTTATCTTGAAAAAATCTTGCAGAAAATATAGTTTTGTGAGAATCATCCTCAAACTTAATCTTGAATTTGGTAAAACAATTATCTTTATTTAAAATGTTTCAAGTCTTAATATTTTTCCTTTTATTATACTGGGATGTATGCTAAAATGGTTGGACGTGGCGTCCTAGAAATTTTTCCACCAGTCGCCACTGGTCTCACACACACACACACGCATGCACGCACGCATGCACAAACACACACACACACACACACACACATAAACCTACACATCAGTTGAGTAAAACTTAGCTGTGTCTAGTAAAGTTGAAGGATATCTGACGTCCATGCTTGTCAACAGAGAGAGGTCTACGATGCGGAGAAGCGTTGCGATTCCTGTCACGATACACGCGGTCCACTAGGCCATGATGTCGGGACGTCCGACTGGTGTCTAAAACAGTTGTCTGTAAAATAATCTGATTGGTTTAAATGATGTTCAAATGTATTTTCACAAGAACAGGCATCAGAACTTTTGCTGCAGTGTTGGGCAAATAAAAGCACAGAACAGGCTCCACACAGAAGATGGACTAGCAGTATGAAAGCTTAGAGCAATGAGAATCATCTCGTACATAGTTATGCTAATGTGTCATAAATGAAGAGCAATGATAAAGAAGGAAATGACACTTGTGCAAATGCATGTTTCCATCAGCTTTGTTACATTTAACTAATTAATTAAAAAGGTTTTCCGGACACAGACAATAATATGATTCCTTTGCGTGAACATTTGGGCGGCATTATGCAAATCTTCCCAGATAGTGACGTAGGTATGTGGGGGCGTGTTAGAACGAGCCGTTATAGGTAGGCGTGGCTGACTCTTAACTTTTATAACTTTTTATAACTTTTATAAAGCACCAAGAGCTTGTAACACTCCAAAGAGAAAGGAAAATTGAAATCACATCATATGACCCCTTTAATACTTTGCTTTAAAAGGTGATCCGGGCCATTCCTCCTATTCAGCGCATTCTAAGTCCCATCATATATTATAGTGTCCCCAAAAAGTATTTGGGTCCTTTAATCCACACTTAAAGATGTCTGAATGTTTTTGGATTGAATAACAGAATATCAAGGCAAGTGGCAAGAAGAACATTTTTCAATCAAAACATTCAACAAAAATAAGTTTTAGTACTAAGAAAAGCTCCAGAAATACTGTTCGATATTTTGTATCTAATTCAATGGCATTTTTAAGTGTCAATTACATTTTGGGACCACTGTATGTCCTAATATTGGACTAAATATTTTTTTTTATAATTTTTATGGAAGGTAAATATTAGTTTTTCTTTTATCAGTAATGAGTATCCCTATGAACTAACTTCTAACATGATAAACTGGCAATTTATAAAGAAACATTCCATATGTTTGTTAATCGCATTTCTTTCTTTAATCCAAAAGCTTTCAAACAAAACATGTCCTGTGCTTTGATAATATTGCAAATATGATATTTCCCTGTGTCCTCAATATCAGTTTCTATCCTGTTAGACTTTTGTAACATCCCTTTAATTAACAAAAGTCTTAATGACATCATCTTCCATGAAGTGACAACATTTTGGTGGCAAATCAACACAGACATCTAAAACTATTAGCACACCCTCATGCAAGCTAACTCTCAATATTTCACTGAGTAATGACTAACTTGTCCATACGGTTAATTTTCTTGCTAATTGTGAAAATCGTAATAATTACTAGAGTTATAATTACTAGAGTTTAAGTGTCTAAGCTTGACCAGAGCATTTTTCTGGAATACAAAAATATATCACAAGCTTATTCTTTTCTTTTCTTTTAAGTTACACAGTTGAAAAGGTACTTTACAGATTACAGTCACATGGAAAATGGACCGTTTTCTAAAAAACAGCCCATTCCATCCTCAATAGTGTAGCGATGTCACTTTCAAACCAAGCAGTTCACGCAAAACTCCCAAACGTATGGATTCCTATTGAAATGAATGGAATTCGCCAACAAAATTTCACAAAGCAACCATAAACGTGACCGCACCTAATAAGAATGACCCATCTAATGCACTTTGAGCATTATCCAGTTAGGATGTTTATGAAACTGTGATTAGATCATCTGAAGGGAAATTAATTCATAAAGTGACAGCATAGTGTGCAGGACAGCATTTTCAAACTTATGAAGGTTCTAAGGTCTCACCTGAAAAGGGAGGTCAGTGTTGCTATTTCCAATATGATTGACATTGGGCAGTGACCCTCCATAGCACTGAGTTCGATTCTGGCCTAGTTGCAAATATTGGGTCTTCTGTAACTGCAACTGTGCAAAATAACAGTGCGTGAAAAGCAGCAGTGAATGACTTAATGAATGCATGAATGAAACGTAAACCAGATACTGTGGAGTAAAAACACTTTATCAAGTGAAGAATGAGAAAAGCAGACCAGTGAGAGGTAATAAAAAGTAGCGGAACATGGGTATCAACTTATGTGGCGGCGGCGCACACTAACATATATCAAAGTTCAACACCAGGGGACACACTAATAGCCTGGATCTGACATGTAGTAAGAGGTTGAAAACAGAGACCGGAGTAAATTGCTCTAATATTTTCCTCAAATGAATATTTGTCGGGGTTAGTTTAATTTTGAAAGTCAATTTCTGTTTAAGCACAAACCTTGACATCATTACCTTTTTTTTTTTAGTTTTCCAAGAAAAAGATACAGTTCATTTAAAACACATTGATCAATATGTTTATTGACACTGATTTGATAAGATTCTTCTCAAATCAGTGAAAATGAAAAAAGTTTTCTGTGTGATATACTATTGAAAGTGAAATGGTGCATTCAACAACAATATGTGTAAGTTAATGTAATTAAAATAACAATAATCAAAAATAAAAATGAGAGGTAGTATGCAAAAAATACCAAAACCATTATTTTAGTCAAATTATAATGACTGAATTGTTTAAAATAATAATATACAAAACTTGCCCTGACCTGACATTTATGAAAAACAATACTACACTAACAATGATCAGTGGTATTTTAGTATCACAGTAATATTCTGGATTTTGTTAATATATTGAATTCAATTTTAGTTTTTCTGCATTCACTGTAATTTTAATTAAAATAATGGTCATTTTTATTTATTTTTTTATATGCCTATATACTTTTTTCATTTTCATTTATACTTCAAGTTAAACCAAACAAAAATTAGAAATGTTGCCTTAACTGTTTATATATATATAGAGAGAGAGAGAGAGAGAGAGGAAATCAAAATTAGAGAACAACCTACAATTTCCTAAATTTCAGGGTCCTACTTGAAGCTATCCTAACAGGAGTAGAAGCTAACTCTGGTTAAACACTTACAGATACCTCCAAGTTATTGGTGTTAATCTGGCACCTGCAGCTTATTTCCTTCATTATATGACAAACCCTATTTAACTGGCAGCATTTCTCTAATTTTCACTGAGATTGCAAGACGTCGGGCCGCTATAAGCTGACTGAAAGCCTGCGACAGACCCTTTCAGCCACTGCAAGAGAAGATGGTCATTCCAAAACTGTTGATTTCTAGAATATTGCAGCTTTACAATGACATGAATTCATTAAAGTCCCCCAAAAAGGCTGGTTGTCCACATAAGACAAATACATAAGAAGACAGGATAAAGCAGAGACTTTCAATGGGGAATCGGTTCAACACTGCAGCTGGAATTGCTTGCCAGTTTCAGCGCTGAACAGGGTAAGGATCTGTCTCGGCACGTTTAAGAGAAATCGGACTGAAAGTGCACTCTGCAGTGACGAAGCCTCTCATCAGCAGAAAGAATCAAAAGGCTAAGCTCATCTTTGCTGAGGAGCATGTTGTGTGGAGAGAGTAGAACTGATCCAAAGTTCACTTTATCTCGCGAATCTCGCGATGGCGCCGACGCTGATGGCTGCCTCCGTGGCGTGCTCTGCAGTTGTTTTTATGTTTTTGTTAGTTTGTCCTGTCTTTAGTTATATCCCTGCAATCAGTTTCACCAGAGACGAATTGCTGGACATTCGGAAGTACACACCACCCGATATTTCACCGGTTTTCGATTATTCTGATGTTTTGCTGGACATTGTAGTCAGGGGAGCTGCGGCGCTGATCAAACGCTTCAGGACGCGCAGACGGGGGAAGCGAGCCGGCTCCCTCATGAAGCTAAGGCAGCGTGGATTCAGAATGCCGTTGCCTAGCATCCATCTGGCGAACCTCTGCTCTCTACCCTGGCCCCCATCTTCACACAGATCTTCAACAGATCACTGGAGCTGTGCGAAGTCCCTTCATGCTTCAAACGCTCCACCATCATCCCCATCCCAAAGAAATCCAATATTACAGGACTTAATGACTACAGGCCTGTGGCTCTAACGTCTGCGGTCATGAAGTCTTTTGAAAAACTGGTGCTGGCCCACCTGAAGGACATCACTGGACCCTTGCTGGATCCTCTTCAGTTTGCCTACAGAGCAAACAGGTCTGTGGA